TTAAAATTTAATTTAAAATTATCTCATGTTTCTATGCTGTTACTTTTTAATTGGTATATTTTACTAGGCAAATATATATACGGTCAGTCGTGATAATTTCCGGGCAGCCAAAACGGGTCACCCAAGCTGTGATGAAGTGTGAGCGCAGGTCTCGACAGTAATGTCCGCCGTTGGATATACCTCAGGCCAATGGGTGAATCGGTCGACGACTCTGAGGCAATATCTGTAATCATAAGAAATTGGCAAAGGTCCTACAAAATCCATATGGACGTGAGAAAGACGACTAATAGGAGATGGGAAAGGAGTAAGAGGAGATGAAGTTTGGCGGGAAACTTTGGAACGTTGGCAATCAATGCATTTATGACAAACCTTGTTTACACCGGGCCAAAGAAATCTCTCTGTAACAATCTTCGTAGTTGCTCTAGCAGCGGGTGCCTTAATCGATGGTAGATATTAAATAGATATCCTTTTGCGGAAAGAGTCAGTTATATATGATCTTGGTTTATGTGTGGATATGTCGCAATAAAAATACTTAGCTCCATACTTAGAAGGTTTAGCAGTTCAGGATCGTTATCCTGAGAAAATGCAAGGTCCTTATAATTAAAAGGATCTGTTATTTCTTCTACTCTGGAGAGGGCGTCATCTACCACGTTTTCCTCGCCGGTTACATAACTAATGTCCGTTGAAAATTGGCAGATATAATTCAGGTACCGGAATTCGCGTGGTGAGCAATTTTCGCGTCGTGACGAAAAAGCGAATGTCCAGTGGCTTATGATCTGTGAATATGGTGAACGTTCTGATTTCCATCATTGACAAAGTGACGAGTTGCGACATATATCGCCAGCAACTCGCGGTCATACGGTGTATTTCCTTTGGGAATGTTTCAAGCATCGAGAGAAAAATGCTAGTGGCTGCCAACTACCGTTTACTCGCTGCTGAAGAACTGCTTCAATTGCGGTGTCTGATGCATCCGTGTGGTCCGGGTGTGGTTGTGCCAGTAGAGATGCTTTGGAGATAGTTGACTTACATGATTCAAACGCATTTCTCATTTCAGGTCTCATTTCGATGAGTTTTGATGCCTTCTTCTTTTGACCAAAAAGGACGACATTGAGTGGTCCTTGTGCTTCTGCAGCACCTGGAATAAATCGGCGATAATTTTATACATGCCTTAGAAACGGTGAAGCTCCTTAACAGTCGTCGGGATCGGGAATTCTTGATTGCCTGCACCATGTCCGATAAAGGCTCGATTCCATCTGCAGAAACTTTATGCCCTATGAAGATGATGGAGAATTCATCATTCCAAATTTGGTGAGACGTTCAAATAGCCGTTTCAGGTGCTCTAGATACTCTTCCTTATTCGATGAAAATATTAAGATATTATACAGGTACCCGTACACAAACGGTAAGCAGAAACGGTGCGAGCATTGACTGCTTGATAATCACCGCAGGGTCTCCATCCGTTGTACTTTTCGGGAGCCAGGTGTAGTGGTGAAGACCAAGAACTTTATGACCTGACTGCTATTCCACTCTGCAGTAGTTCCTCAAATTTCTTTTGAGCAATCTTTAGGCGTTCTGGTTGAAGACGGCGTGGACGACTTGAAACAGTCGGTCCAGATGTTGTTCTTATATAGTGCATGGCATATATGCTTACCAGCTTTATGCGTTCCAGCTGGTCGAGATCTCAGAATACTCACGTGATATATCATGGTAGGTGGACTCTCCTGTGTGACCTTCATAGAAGAGACGTGTTCCGTTGCTTTGCTGGTTGGTGCCGGAGTGGAGAGCGAAGTGAGTGAATCAATCAGCTGGTGGTGCTTAACATCTACCAGGAGACTGAAGAAGGATAAAAAATCGACACCGATAATTTGCTTGGAGACATCTACCACCACAAATCTCCAACGGAATGTTCGCCTTAGTCCTAGTTTAAGTTGCAGTTCCACCCATCCGTATGGCTATTACTGTTCCATTGGCTGCAAACACCTCGCACTTAGTCTTAGTTCGCTATTTCCGTAACATCTTCAACAAGTCCGAACGAGTATCAATAAGGAAACTTACGTGTGTATATTTGAGTTTGATAAAGAGGTGGCCTGGGAAATTAGAGACAGTCGTTGGCCGCTACTGCCGACATTTGTGTCGTGTCACCAACATACCCTATTGTCGAACGATTTTGATCTTGATCGTGGACGGTGACGATTTCCTTTACGGTCACGTGACTTCGAGTGGGTTCGTGAGCCCTGGTTTTACCGGCGCGTTATCATTAATTAGTGGTTCGCGGCGACGTCGTCGTGGGTCCACCTAGAGGGAGGCCTTCCAACGCTAAGTCTTCCGGTTCGTGGTCGCCACTCGAGAACCTTTACTCCCATTGGCCATCAGTTATTCGAGCGATGTGGCCTGCCCACTGCCACTTCAACTTGCAGATCCGGAGAGCTATGTCGGTGACTCCGGTTCTTCGGCGAATTTCCTCATTCCGGATTTTGTCGCGCAAAGAAACTCCGAGCATAGCTCTCTCCATAGCTCGTTGTGTCACTCTGAGCTTCTCCAATAGTCCAACTTTTAGAGACCACGCCTCAGTACCATACGTCATCGCTGGCAACATACCTGGTTATAAACCCTTGTCTTTAGGCACTGTGGATTCTTGGTCGAAAAGATATCGCGTAGCTTCCCGAACGCTGCCCATCCCTGTTGGATGCTTCGACTGACCTCTTTGTCGAAGTTGGACCTGCCTAGCTGGACCGTTTGTCCAAGGTAGACATAGTGGTGGACAATTTCGAGTGTATCGTTCCCAACATGTATGGATGTGGTCTATGGTGCCTTTCCGGAACCCGGCTTGTTCGGGAGGCTGGAAGTCATCAAACTTGCGTTTAAGACGATTCGTAATGACTCTAGAAAACAGCTTATATACATGGCTCAGGAGCGAGATGGGTCTATAATTCTTCAACAGGGTCTTATCTCCCTTTTTGAAGAAAAGCACCACCACACTCCTATGCCATGCTTCTGGCGTGGTGCCTTGAAGTATGACGGAATTGAACAACTTCTGGAGGACTTGTAGAACCGGTTTTCCATCCACTCTCAGAAGTTCAGTCGTAATTCCGTCATCACCCGGTGCCTTGTTGTTCTTAAGCTGTTTCAGAGCCATTCTAATCGCGTACATGCTGATGTCTGGGATATCCTCAGTGTAGTGTCGGGTCAACCTAGCTCTGGTGTCCTGAGCTGTTCTGACAATGGGTTTACATGTCGAGGTGTACAGCTGTCCGTAAAACATTTCAAGCTCTCTCAAAATGTCAGGTTTCGATGAGATGACACTGCCGTCGTCGATCTTCAGCTTTGTCATTAGGCTTTGCCCAATATACGAATGCCTTACAAACACTTCAGAGCCCTGGTTCCGCTCGATTGCGGCTTTAATACGCTGTGTATTATAGGACCGCATGTCGTGTCGCATGGATTTTGAGATTCGTCTGTTGAGTTTGCCATACTCTGACATATCAACTGAAGATTGCAGTCTCATCTGTGTTCGATCTTTCATTAATTGAATGGTCTGTGGGGAGAGCTTTTGAGGTTTCTTCGGGCGCGGGGCCTTAAAGAACTTAGAACCCACTGTGTGGATAGCTTCCACCAACTCATTGTGCATCTCGTCCGTTGATTCGCATTCTTCAAGGCACTGAAAGCGATTTTGTAGTTCGAATTGAAAGCTTTCGGGATTTTGTATTTAGGCAGGGCAAGGTCGGAGGGTGGACTTCATCAGGCGCGACCTTTCAAGCTTCGCGTTGATATTCAATGTGCCTCTAACACCACGGTACGGTGATCACTACCAGTTTTCACCCTGCCGATCACGGAGACATCATTGAATATTCACTTCTTGGTCGTCATGATATTATTATATGAGCATGTAAAATTATTACAGTATTAAGCTTATGATAATACTCAACGAGTTTATCACGGTAATAAGTTATATATAGCTCTTAAGATGGACAAAACTATGGAAAACCACGAGTACCTATATATTGATATAAGTAGATGTCTGTTACTAGCTATTAATGAAAATTAACTTTTAAAACAAATAAGAAACATCGCACACAAAAAACGCTTACGCTGGGGCACGCGTTTTGAAAACAGATCATCGATCATTTTCACCTCCTACTACGGTAAAAGTAATTTGAGGAGAAGTTAAAGAAAAGTACCGTTTGTTATGTAAATTAGTCAGTAATTTAAATATTCCAAGGACGTATGATAAATGACAATGATAACGACATTGATATTTGTGATGAACGAAGTATACATAAGGCTTACAAAATTAAAAGCAACGTCACAATTATCGGTGGCCTATAAAAGATAATACCTGCAAATATTATTTGATCAATTGAATATGAGATGCAAATAGCAAATTTAACATATTTCAAAGTAAGCGTTTGTACGCTTACTTTGTTTGAAATAATATGAACTAACTATATAACAAAAATAATATGTTTGAAATATGATGAACCTGATGTTTCTTGTAAAACTTCAGGTTCATCATCGCACTTAAGTCATTAATAATACAAAAAAAATATTTTGAGTATGACCGTTTTAAAGAAGGTATTTATATTTAAATACACAGTAGAACAACCGCTAACATTACGTGATAAACATTAGGTAACTGTTAGTATGTTATAGAATATGTATAACGTTGATTTTCGAACACTATTAGAAAGTTGCACAAAATTCACGCCATTTGTTCCTTAGCCGCAACCATGAGCGGTGCGCGTGGGCCACGACCCGTGTCTGGGTGGAAGCTTAAAATCAACAGTGGGCGTTGACATCTAGTGGGTACTACGGTTTTTGCCAACGGAAGGCGACGATATTGAAATAAATTTGTAGGCGAAGGCTGCGCTCAGGCGCGAACGCCACCAGTGAGCTTTGTGCTGGCGCGTGGATCGAACGTCGACGTGCTAGTGAGGTGCTATCCACGAATCCCGAGTGTAGCTGCAGCGATCGAGAAACGAACACTTACTTAACTCAAAGACATGGAAGTCGCGGGCCAGTGGCGGCGGGAGTGGGCTGGAACGGCCGAATACGGAAAGGTAAGGCCGCCGATCGGCTTCCCTTGCCGCAAAATGCATATCGATTTTTATTGTAAAACACTTTATGTATCTCTATTTTTGCGTGATTTATAGCTTTATACCAATTAAAATATATAGAAGATGTTAAGCGTAGGTTTAAGTGCTGTCACTGCCGAATTAATAGCGTCTGTTGTTTTATTATATCCGAGACAGATTTAATGTCGAGTAAGTGACGTGAGTTACAGCATTTTAGATTTACAAGCAGACACTGCCAAAAGCATAAAGCGGGCGTTTCCTTATACGGTGTAAAAACTCAGAGCGGTGCTAGTGCCGACCCAGGCTTGTCACTTATACCTGAAATAACCTAAAATGAATCATTGGCAACGTTACCTTAAAGTTCAATGCTATAGGCAACTTTTTTCCTAACCCATCCGAACCAGTTTTCAGTGCTATTGCTCTTTTTTTATTTAAAATGTACAAAACTAAACGATTATTAGGCATTCGTATGGTATAAGCGTTGCTAACAAGTGCAGTATATTTACTATTATTGTTGTCCTGTAAGTACTTAAGTTATTTTTGACCAGGCCTTGTATGTGTTCATATTTAAATAATAAGATATTTTTTTCTAACCAACTGTTATCACATTAAAAAAATTGTAAAAGAATTTAAAACCTAGAACACCAAATAATATATGCATTGTTCTGAACCATGTCAATTTTAATATATACATACACCTAAATGTATGGATACCAAATATAAATAGATCTATTTTACAGATTGTATTTCGTTCACTTGAATTTAAGCTTCTAACAATTTAAGTAAAATAACAACTTTTCAACAGAATGTATTTATTAACTTATCAATAAAATTGTTTTCTTAATACGAATAACATCGTTAACATCTTTTTTACGTGTCGCGAAGCAATAATGAATCTGGAGCCTCATAGTGATTAATATTGTACAAGACAATGGTGACTTCTGCAATAGCAGTCGATTATCGAACAGAGAAAGCGTAATACGTGAGGAAGTTTCTGACTCCCGTTGCAGCAAAAACTATTGATTATGTGTTAATTCGTAGGAAAAGGAAGCGAAGCGAATGAGTTCTCCGCACATTTACTTATTTTTCACGTATTAAACCAAAGGCTAATAGTGACAGAATTAGATCTCTTTTTTAGAGAAATGTAGTTGAAAATAAAAAATGACAAAGTATATTTACTTTTAACTATAGGGATTTATATTAAATCTGTAATGATTTCCCCCAATGAAGTTTGTTGGTTTCGTTTAATTTTTCTTATTTCCATATGCATGTGGACTTCAAAGGTTTGTCGTGTAAAATATAGAGCCTCTGAATTTCTTCAAAGTGGTGGAGTCATTTAATTAAATTTTGTTAGACAATCGCTTTCGAAAATTAACACTAAACCCAAAATGATGTGAATAGATTGCTTGCAATCAAAATGGAATAACGATCTTATTTTAGACCGGTAACATCAATACCCGCGGCGTTGATGTCTTTTGTTCAAGTGACACTAATATACTTATAATGTCCTTTCGAAATAATGTACTACATACATTGCGTATGGTAATTGTTCTTGTATTGCTTAATATTGGATACTGGTGAATATACAGGATATGGGCGACTTTAAGATTTGTTTAGTCTTAGTATTTCATAACAGTTGTTTAATTTTTTTTTGAACCTCGATAGCTCAGTATACGGGTGCTCACCTTTAATTCAAATATACTCGAACTAGAGTTCAATCTCCAGTGCCGGCACCAATGAAATTGTTTATTTTAAGTGCTGAATTATCGCTTGCTCAGCGGTGAAGGAAAGCATCATGAGGAAACCTGCATATTTTCGAAATAATAACAAAAAAAATCATTTCGAACAAACGTGAATCCGCAGTGGGGCCACGTGGTAGACTATGCCCTGATACCCGTTGGAGTTGCATGATCTTATTCTTCCCGCCCTTTCCATCATCGGACAACCAGACGTACGGCGGGGCTCTACCCTTATGCTGTCAACGTTCCACGTACACGAGCAAAGCGATTCGCTTCTTCATTTATCATCCGTACAGCCAAGGAATGGAATAACCTGCCGGCGTCCGTCTTTCCGTCCGATTACAACGTAGGCGTCTTCGAGGCAAGAGTGAATAGGTTTTTACTGAGCTAGCGCGCTTACCATCAACGGCTGCATCGCCAATTACCATCAGGTGCGATGGCAGTCAAGTGCAAGCCAGTTTTGAATTAATAAAAAAAAACCCAAGGAGGCCTTTGCCCAGTAATTGGATATGTATAGGCTGATACTATTTAATTTTACCTCCCATATTTGAAATATTCCTACATACAGAGCATTTATGTTAAGTAGGTATATCGCGACAACCACTGAACTTCTGCACCCATATTAAACAACTAAAAAACTTACCAACTAAATGTAAACAAGTTATTTTATTTTTGGCAGCTTCAAAAATTGTTTATTGTCCCACAGCTGCTAATAAAAGATAGCCGTAGTGTATTGTTTAATGATTGTTGTTATTAAGATGATGTTAAAGGTAGTTTTTATTAATAATATAATCCGCGCATATGTAATTAAAATGGACATTTACTTTTCGTTGTGATCCTTAACCCGCCAAATATTTAGGTACTACAAAGAATTTTATAGTAAAATATGATTATTCAATAGAAAGAACAAAGTTTTGTCGTCAACGTTCACAATGAAAAAACAAATCCAAGTTTAAGATTTCAGGAAGACAACAAAGTTAACACCGAAACTATATTCAGCTGCTATTGATGAAGATGGATTCTGAATTATTCATAGCAAATTTTAACAACGTAAAGTTGTTTTTGACAAGTTTGTTTCATTGTTCCTGTTTTAAGAGCCTTGTTTTGTCGATGTTTCACTTTTAACGAACAGTGTTCATGTTTTACGTAGCTCAGCGCTGTTGTTTAACGTGGCCCACGAACTGCCGGAAATCCTGCACTAAGGCCGCCACGAGGCTGCGCTCGCAACAACGTAAATGCCGATTAACTTCTTCATTTCTGCTAACATTAAAGACAAGCCATTACTGTCTCTTCATTTAATACGCGCTGTTTCTATTTACTTCGAGACGAAAATTAAACCTTTTTTTTTTTTTTGAGTCAAAATCGCGTGGCGAACACATAATGGTCTCGATGAGTCAAGCGGGTATTATAGATTGGTAAATTTCAAACCCATTAACATAATTAATCGTCATCGATTCAGCGTAACGCGACTAGAGCGAGTTGATCTTTATGAATTACACGTAGTTTCCCCACTCGCGTCACATCGAATTACTCGTATTATGATTCTCTATGGCGCAAGAGTCGTTGACCGTACCGCTCGTTAATTTAAGTCATCAAACAACATTCGCTCCTGACGGTTTAATTAACGCTGTTAAATAAATGCTAAACTGTAGCGCGATTACCGTTATGCACTTCAAACAAAGTGTAAGAGACTGTATACCGTTGTAGGAGGGTGCGATTGTTCCTAGGTCAATTGTGGTCGCCGTTCGGTCTCGCTTTTGACGTAAGATATCCTTGAAATAGTCGGCCTTGATACAATAATTGTTTCAGTAAAGCTCCGCTTTTGAGGTGATATTATTACTGCTATTTTGGTCGAAAAATGCATTTTATACATTAACACAAACTACTGATGCAATCTAGTAAAATGTTAAAGTCGGTTTAGATGTTAACACAATTATAATCTATTTCTCTATCAATATGGTATCAAAAAATCGCGGATACCATATTGAAATAATATGCCCTTTATCACCCACAACCGGAGCCAATCTTATGATATTCCATGATTATTTTGGAATCCCTCAAAAGGTTACGATTGTAGAGTGCATGTAATTAGATGTATACGTACATAGTTAGGTACATACCTAAATACGCCCGAAAAGCATTAGCCTCCATTTTTATTTGGGTAATGAATTAAACTTAATTTCAATATTATTGGGGCTATTTCGCAGATATGTTATTTTAATTTAGTCTATGAAAACGTTTCGTTTTCCTCAGGACTTTATAAAATTTTGTCTCAATATTCTTTTCAGTTTCCACTATTTTCTTAACTTCTTTCAATGAATACTATCGAAACATACAAAATACATTACAGTTTCTTATAAACTTGTAGTTCTGCTATTAGTCATCACTCACCATAATAAGCTTTGCGTTCGTTGACATCGTGTAAAAATGTAATTTATAATATCCATGATAATTTGTGAATGAGTCCGATTATATTTGACGTAAATAAATAGTTTCAATTTGACATAATCGTATGTTCCTTTCCAGGTATGATTGTACATTTAATTATGCTGCTCACACCTACGTAGAGCAGCAAAACTTGTCGTTCATTGGAAAGATCACAATCGCGAGGTGCCATTTCATTTCGCCCCCGCAACGGCGATCACGTCACTCGCAATAAATATACCTGTATTGCAAACGAAGGTCGCGTACCAATGTGAATGCGTTACTTATTGCCTTAAGACTATCTGTTGTGAAGGTGTGTCCAACATAGAAATATTTCGGTGTACATCACCTTAGCACTGAGTACGTTGCACTAAAGTGGTGCTAAGATAGCTTGTATTGTATAATAATTATGTCAAATTCATTCTAAAACTAATCAGTTCATAATGGCGTAGAAACATTAGCCTCTCAAAGCGCCCTGAGCAATAAGTACGTTACTGATATAACTACACCAAACGAAGTCTCTGTTAACAGTTATAATAACAGGTGAGGTCATCATTACTTTAGTCGTGCGCGTTGCACGCGTCGTTTTGCAATATATATTTTTTTCTGATCAACGTGAAAAGTTTGTGAGTTTTTATTTATGAATTGGCTTGTGATAGTCAATTGTCCCATCATATCTATGACAACTTCTTCATCACAAAATATTTAATTGGGTTAATATCCATATTTGCCTGTTGTAGTTAATTATCAAGTATTGTTTTGCATTATTAATGTTCATATATTATTCAAATTAAGGTTCGAAAGGCGTGTGACTGTCAAGCAAGTACATACTTAAGTCATATGCCTATATATTTACAAGTTGGGCTCTAATAAATGTGGCAGGATCGCAGATAGTAGAAATCCTTGCATATCCATAATGCATGAGTATTTAGGTATGATTAAATTATTATTTTTTTTGTTGTTAAGCCTGTCACGTGATGATTTCCTTTAAATATAATACAACCACTTAATAGTCACACACAAAAGTCACGTTTAAAATTTATGACGGTCTTTATTAGATCCGAAAAAGTAGTGAGAGGTTTGAAGCCTTTTTTGGGCAAATTCATATCCCTAATACTTTTATAACCGACTTGAAAAAGGAGGAGGAGGTTATTCCTTCTAATGTTTATATTTTTTTTATGTATGATCGGGAAAAACTCCGCCATATATGGACGGATTTGCAAAATTTGTTAGAAAGGATTTTATTTCGAAATGCTCTCATTTAAATTTCATATAGATCTAGCGATGACGTTCGGAGGTAGACAACCATAGGAAACTTCTTTAGGCGCGTTGAGCACTTTTTAGGTGAACAAAAATCATGGAACTCGCGTCATCGTCACCAAACGCACTTTTTTAATTATTCTTATTGCATATATACATATTTTTAACTTAACAATAATTATTAAGAAATTATTTTAACATACTAATTATTTTATTTATAAATAAATATATTAATTATTGTTAACTTACTTAGATTTTCTCTTCTAACGGCAGTCCCCAAAGACTGACCCGCAATTTTTTTTGTGCAATAACAAAACATATGATCACGTCTGTCCTCTCGAAAATGTTAAGGAGATGTCTTCAGTATAGCTAGGGGCACGCAAAAACAGCGTATTTACACAATTAATACTCGCACATTAGTAAACAATGGCAAAAATTGTTAAATCTTGTTAGAGTTTACGCATGTTAGGTTAAATATTTACAAGATTTTATTATATCAGATTTAGTATTATTTTAAATTGGTGCTAATAGAGGTTTTGAATTCGGTTCTATTTTTGTTAAAAAACGTTTTATATTCAAAAGTAAGCTATTGGAGCTTGTGTGTATTTAAAAATGCACTGAAGGCAGTATCAGATGAGTGAAGGCGCTCTTATGATTATATCATAAGAGCGCCTTTGTGTCTTCAGTTAGTAGTGTACATTGTTGTGTTCAAATTTGATTATATTTATTATAAAATACAAACCAAATTGTCCCATATCCCAAATTTAGGCAAATCTCACTTAAATTAATGTGTCATTACATGCGTTATGCTAAAATGCATACATAAGAAATGGCATATTGCGTAATTCCTTTCATTATATTTGTTTGCCAGTCGAAACGGAAGCTTTTGTTTTTGCCTTTTAAGGCAGAGGCAGGTACTTGCTAAAAGAGTAAAGAAATGAGATCCTTTGTTACTTGGTTCCCAATATTTCCCTTATATTTTAGTCTCGAATATTTATAATAGCCGAGCGCAGTTAAAGAATCGCGTAATGTACCAACTGATAGTGACGTTTCAGAATCCTCGGAAACACCATCGTGTGATCACCAGACGATCAGAATTCGGTAATCTATCAAAATTATTAAAGTTACATTCATATCGTTTATTTGTTTTACTTAACATTGTGCCGAATTAACAGTGCTTTTAGAAGAAACAAAATATAAGCTTATTTTGAATATTACAAGCGATTAGCGAATAAAACGTCCTAAACGGTTATTTCTAAACGATATTTAATACAGGTACGTTTAAAAGTGAAGAACGTTATTTTGACGACTACAAAAGCACAGTCCGTCAAGGTTCTTTGATCTTACTTCGTGCTTCCTGTTCATCTACGTCCTACACAATACTGCATGCGAGACGCGTCTGTTATCGTTTGCGCATTTCTCTTTTAAAAATGGCGTGTTTTATAAATATATCTTTGTATATCGTGTACTTTTTACAGTTTTTGATTTATTATCATTGTTATTCTACGGCTTTTGATTTATTATGAACTAAATATGTATATTAAAATATGTAGAAAAAGTGCGAAAAGATTGTCGCCGCTGTGGGAATCGAACCCACGTCTTCGGCATTCGCGGCCTGACGCTCTAGCCACTGAGCTAAACGGCTGATTACCACACCGACGAAAATCTTAACGCATTCTTCTACATTGTTTTCTTAGCATCTTTTCGCACTTTTTCTACATATTTTAATGTTCAATCTTAAGTGAAAGATTAGCACTATAAACAATTTAAATTTCTAAATATGTATATTTAAATAAAGTTGGTCAATTCATTTTCACTACTGCTTTTTACTACTAATGGTCCATTTACATCATAATAAACAGCAATAATACGTATATTATGATCTTTTTTTATTTTATGTGAAAAGTTGGCAAGCGAGCAGGCGGTCTACCTGATGTTATGTACTTACAGGCAAGCGGTCATCGGGGGGCTTAAAGATTCTTCGACAAACTTTAATATGTGGGCCCCGGTTTACTTCACACAACAAACGAAACGCGAAAGTATTATAATTCCATTTCCCGCTGGTCTTCTGTGGGGCCGTGGTACTTCCCCACACGAACCTGCCCATTTATTTTGAGCAACAGCCGAAGCTGTTGCTTGGCCCTTGTTGCGTTAATACCATAATATCAGCATTAACAAAATGTCGAATCAAATCAAATGAAAACTAATGACATAGTTATAATACTTTGAAATTAATAATACTTTAAAAATTGTTTATTCTAAAACGGACAATTGTGGTTCCTATTAATAATTTTGACAGTAATTCTTTGGCACTCGTGACAGGATGAGTCATATGATGGGCATAAATGAAACTTATATGGGCATAAGCTTATAATTATGAACTTATCTTAAGGACGTATTCAGTTTTGTAGACCTAATAAAGAACAAAAAATAATGTAAAACTGGCTTTTGCATGTAATAAAATCCATAATAGGAAGACTCAAAAGATCTAAAAGAATAGATTGCGTAACTTCTACTAAAAGCTACTAAATTCGGGATTCAATGTCTTTCACAGGTCACTGAGGGTGGAGTGACAAAACGCGTGGCTCGCGCTATGGAGGTGCTGAACGCAAGTGCACCGGGCGCCCGAGTACGCGTACTGCGAGCTGCCTACCACTCCACAGCTGGGCCAGGCATACCTGCCTCTTCCTACATGCTTCAGTCTTCCCGAAGGGTAAAGCCTGTTATAAATTTAGAAAGCTAATTGATGATCGGTCATTATCAGATGATTGGACCAGACCGCATAACACATGGAATACTTCAGCAAGCACTAATGTTTATTAAAAAAAAAATCGCTAGATTTCTTCGTCCTTCGTTTCATAGCTCAAAAACCTTAGCAAGTTATAAATGAGGCAGGGAAAATCACAACTTTCAAAACACTCAAGCAAACCGAATTGGTACTTGAAGTCGAGAAATCTATAACGGAGCAATGTGATTGACAATCAGTTGTAGCTTTGATATTTATTCTCATGAGGGTAAATCTAATGCAGCGAATGATAATAACCTAAATAACGCAAAATTTATAACTTGTAAACTCGATGATCTTATTGCACTTATACAAGCATCCACAGCAATAGCTAATTTCTCACGGTAAATCGGATCTTGGCTGAATGGTATTCCGAGAAAGAATAAATAATTTAAATTTCCATAATGTGCATTATACACGTCTTTAACCCACATAACAACACCTAGATACATAACAACATGAGACCGGTTTCACTGTAGAAATACTTATACGTAATGTTGAAAGTATCATAAAGATTTATTACATAATATTCAAATTTATGTTGCTTGTCTTATAAAATTTTAATCGTCTGTAAAAAAACATTATGTACAACATTGTTTTTCTTTTTATTGCAGGTGATATCTTCAGGTTATAACTTCGTTGAACCTAATTCATTACCGTCAAAACCTTTGGAAATATCCTCAATTCCTTTCGACATCGGAATTGACACTGACACGAATGCCGTGAAGCCGAATTATAAAGTAACCGAGCCCGATGATATAGAAATATCGGAACCCTCAAAATGGCGAAGCGCTAGCGGAAAAAGTTCAATAAGGTTGCCAAGCGAAGAATCTTCATCAACAGCTGATAATACAAGCATCATTGACCTTGATTCCAGAACCCATCAAAGTAACTCTTTCAAAAACCACATATTTGATAATAGTCATGAAAATGTGAAGACAATTAATCCTAAAAATAATCGAGTATCGCCGCTTTTAGATTCGCCCGTGACATTAAGTACTCTTAAATACAAATCACTTTTAAATGGTAGTGACGATTGGAATAACAGGCGAAAGAGCTATAGCTTTGAAGATACCACACCTTTGAATAAAAATATTATAGAAAGAATCGATCGCTTTGCCATAGAATCTTCAACGGATAGTGGTATATGTAAATCATCGGAAGTTGTCAATGATATAGAGAATACGCGGTACCATAAGCCGACGAAGGAAAAAAAGTCGGGAATACCAGACGAGACATTTAAAGATTGGCTTGTTAAAAATAGAATAAACCTTGGGAGTCACTCGATGAAACCATTAAGAGAGCACAGTATGACACCAGATCGACTTTCCGAAAACAATATAACCTTACAATCTACAGGTAAAATGTGTATCACGCTTCCAGTAACAATTGAAGTGGAGGATGATCAAAAGCAACCACAGATGAGCGATGAAAGCGACCGAAAATCTAAAAAAGTTGGATTTTGCAAAACTGAGTTACATTTCGCGGCGGACACTGGAACTGTTAATATAATAGCGACAGATGAAAAACCTCCGCCTACGAACGACTTCCGTCGTCGAAGGAGTGCATTTGTTCCAATCAACGACAGATTTGAAAAGTCTGTGACGCTATTTGGTGAAAAAATTGATTTCAATGAAAGTGGTAATTCTGAATATTCCTGTAATTATAGTGCCACTGAAATAAGCGATTCCGATGAGAATACAGCAGCTACAAAAAGTATTCTCAAAAACAAAATTCCGAAACCCAAGCCATATCTCTTAGGAGAGAACATGGTTATTGGTAATGACGATGTTATAAATAAAAAGGGTAGTTTAGACAACGATGTAAGCGTTACTGGAGTTTCTCTAATTAATTCACAACTTAAAGCAAACGGAAAATATAGTAAAGAATGCAGTTCTGACTACTGTTCAAGTAAACTTGGCTCAATGGATTTTACTACTAAGTCTTATAGGACAACTAATGAAGGTAAATGTAATGTAATTATAGACGCGTTTTTAGTGACACTGAAACATATGATAAATTCCTGACGACATTCACATTTCGATTAAATTAAATCTTAAAAATAAATAATGATCTGTAGTATATGAGTAAATATTTCAAGACACATTTTTACAGAACGGTTTCTAGTCCCAAACTAAGTAATACTTGTACTATGGGTCCTAGATAACTGATAAACATATGTTTGTATGCTGGAAAGGATATAACAATAGACGCGCCAAGCATTGCTTCAAATGCTAAATAACAATATAGATAAAAGACGTTAAGATTTTCGTCGGTGTGGCAATCAGCAGTTTAGGTGGCTAAAGTGTCAGGCCGCGAATGCCGAGGACGTGGGTTCGATTCCCACAGCAGCGACAATCTTTTCGTACTTTTTCTACAACTTTTAATGACAAACATACTTAAAATCTTATGTAAGTAAATGCATATAATACATATATTCCAGACACTATGTTCACCACACAATATTTTCCAGTAGTGGGGATCGAACCCAAATTATTAAATATTATGAAATTTTAATAAAAAATAATATATTTTATATAGGTCTTGTTATATTTATTTATTTAATTTCAAAAATACGTTACAGGTACCTTTACAAAAAGCAGTTTTAAAAAGCACGACAAGACTTCACTGGAAACAAATAAAAAGTTAGAGACAGTTGGCAGTACTTTAACAAGCTCTATTAAAAAAAAGTTGCAGGTATTACAGACATCTCCTAACCTAGGAAGATCTAACTCGCGACAGCTCAGAGAAAGTGATCTTATGTATTTCGGTGTTGAAAGGAATCAAATACCCCTTTCCATACAACACGAACATGCAGAGGGAGCATTGTATGACAATAATAAAGACCAAGAAGAAATTTTCGAGTCTGTCAGACTAGTAAGAAAAGCTTCTAATAGTGTTTGTAGCAGTGAAATAGAATCAGACGAAGCCCCAGAATATCAAAATATAACATCCAAAATAAATTACGCCCCCGTTCCCGCACCTAGGTTAAAAACAAAATATAACGTAAACCAATCTGGGGCAATAGTTGGCAATTTAAATTCAATAAAAGAGCAAGAAAATGATGATAATGTCCCAACAACATCACGGAGGACTAGATTGAGAAAGCAGGACTGTTCTAGTCCTTCAAATAGAAGCATCTCGGAACCACCGAAGATAAGCAGATTACGGAACAAAGAACTTATACATAGCCAAAAGACAAGTAGTCCTTCATCATTTCGGTAAGTGAAATAATATAAAGCATGGAACAACCATCAATCCTTGGATTATGTAATAATGTTACATAATAACCTTCAATCTAATATAATATATTGTATCATACATTTACAGCATGAAGAGCACCGGTTCAAGAAATGATCGTGATTTGGAAGACGAAACCATGTCTGATGATAGTACATCATTTTACGTAAATCTAACACCAAAAGAAAATGCTGCCGGAGTTTGTCTCGAATATAAAACAAACTTAAAGAGTCATCCTAAAATTAAAAGAGAAACAAATATGAAAGCAATCAAAGGGCACAACGCTGAACAATACAACACACAACATTCTAAACCTCAAAAAATTTATAAACATGAAGATAGCCTTACTAGGAAACCCACATGCCGATCGGAGTCTATGAGTAGCAAAAGTAATACGTACGACAATTCTCAATTACGTACCAAAAACAGAATACAAAGAACTGAGAAACTTGTGACCCCTGAACTGTCTAATAGTGATAGTAGAAGGAGGAACGATAAGAAAAACAAAAGAAATGAAAAGGATACGACTAGTCATACAAAGGAAGATCACCGCATTAAATCTTCACATCGCCATACGGACTCCGATATTAATACTCTAAATACTTTAAAACCTGAAGTAAACGAAACGAAGGAGACAAAGCGTGAAAGAAATAAACACATTTTTGATGAAACAAAACAAAGTAAACATTCACTGATCCATAATAAAAATTTAAACAACATTTCATCAACGGAACAATCAGAGTTGCCCATAAATTCCTCATCAAAAATGAAAGTAACCGAAAAGAAGTATCATGACCCTAAATCGCCTAGACGGAGCGAATATGTAATAAACTACGATGATAAAAATGGAACAGTCTCATCTGTTCGTAAACTGAAATCTTTGAAACTCTCTTCTGAACCAAAGAAGAATTACTCTAAAGCAAATAAAGAAAATGCTAATGAACACAATGGCAGATTGAAACAGATAAATAAAATAGCCCTCCGTAAGTAATTTGTATACACATGATGATTTTAAACGATAACCTATACGTTTATTGAATAACATATTTCAGAACAGATTGCAGATCAACAGAGAGATCAATATGAAAAGGGCTACATGGATAAGACACGTAATAGAAAAAAATATGTTCATAAACCTTGCCAATTGCTATAAAAGATGGCACGCTAGTCTATTTAAATAGATTTTATACGAAAAGGCAAATCGGAAAGTTTATTACATATCTGTAGTAATGTAATATTTACCTTGCTATTTCAAGATTTAAGTTTAATAATGATCTCACAGTGAAATTTTATGAAAATTAAGATTCGCAACTTTATTTTACCTAACAATGCTAAATAATAACCTTTAAAATATAACCATAATTTAAACGCATTTAAGTATAAGATAATGCTGTTTTATTTTCTTTACAATATTATCTAAATAATTCAAACCGTCATTAAAGGGTCCTTATCAAATTCACTCACTAAAACTTGTATCTGGTTGTTTAACTTATTCTGAAGATTAGTAGAAAATCCGCGTAAAAATCCTCTTTCTGAATCCGAATGGTTGGTCAATATAACGGATATTCCTCTCTGAGCAGCGTCCAAGACATCATGATGAAGCATTTCCCCTAAAACATAAAGGGCAAGAATGAAAAATAAATGGGAAAAAATACTAACAATTAGTTGAATTGAATGTTAAATTACCAGTCAAGAAAAGGTCACAATTAACAACACTTTTTAAAACAGATCCTCCAGATCCGGCACATAATGCTACGGTCTCAATTGTATCGCTTAAACTCTTGCCATTAGCAAGACCTAAACGAACATGTTTTAGATCTGTTAATTTTTTTACCCTTGACACAGCATCCGATAAAGTCATGCCCGGTTCAAGCTTTAAGAACCTGCAAGAAAACCAGTCTGTTAAATATATTTATTAATCACAGATTTGTACATCCAATATCATTATGTGTTGACAGCAATCCATGTTTATAAGTCAATCCATTATTAAGTCTCAAAATGTGAAAAGGCGATGATTATTAGGCATAAGAATATTCATTATCGCCTCCAGCGAATAGAAAATAACTGCTTCAAGCACATCTATTCACTTATTTACATATATGTATATTGTACATTATGAACCAATATATTAATACCTTCCTGCTCCCGTGTTAGGGTCTATACCAGGTACTATAGGCGAGACCTCGATGTAAGGAAAACACGATGCCAACCAATCGTTAACGCCTCCTTGTACACTGTCCCAGCTTGTATGAGGAGAGTACAGAGATATACGGTTCTCTAATAAAAAAGACACTACGCGTTCCTTCCATGAGCTGAAAATGAAACAATATACTTGTTAATTTGTTTTTCTTTGAATTCAACTTAAAAATAGTTAAGTTGCTGATCACAATTAACTTCCCCAGTTAATCAGTTTTTTTACATTAAAATTTAATTTATTATTTATATTACTATAAATAATATTCACTTACCTTTGGACAACAGATTTTAAAGGAGCAAATATTGGAGGGTGATATGAAATTATCATTTCACATTCATGCTTTTGAGCTTCCAAAGCTACTTTCTCAGTTAAATCATTTGTTAACAAAATCTTTGTTATGGGCCTAAAAATTAATTTTTTATTAAATCTATTCAATTTTTGAGTCGTTTTATACGTTACTGTAATAAAAAAGAGCATCAAAGTTGTTCTACTATCACATAACTATCTAATTACAATGTGATGGTAGATGGACTTGGATGGATGGATGAAATGTTAAAGAAGAAAAAACGGAGATGATAGAAATGGTGACGAAACCAAACAGTTGGCATGATGAACATACCCCCATTGCAGTTTTAATGGCTAAATTGTAATTATGTAAGCAACATTAATACTAGTGTTATATTTGGTCATTACATAATATGAACTTAGCGTTTGATATGGAAAACGAAAAAATATATTAAATTATATATTTAATCAATCGAAGTACGGTATGGGGAGAATGATAGGTCGAAAACAATCGAATCACAGCTTCTCTAATTTAGCGACAGTCTCTTGTGAAATGTGAAGTCTAATGTTGTCTTGAAGCAGCAGTGGGGTATGATCGGCGACTAAATGAACAGTCTGAGTTGTTGAATAGTGAGCTTTTTTATCATGGTTTGCAAATATTGACAATAAAGATATGCCAGATCTTAAAAAACTGTAGTGTAAAAAACAATCATTTTTTCCGAGTCAACTTTCGCTTGGAACAGGATTTAGCCGATTCTCCAGGGTTCAACCACTGTTCGTTTCCGATTGTCTTACAGAATCCGTATTACATCGCAAGTTACAATACGATGCAAAATTTTTATTTATTTATTTATAATTGTTATTATTATTGCGACGGATGATTAAGCGTTAATACGCTTTGAACGTGTTCGTCGGCGTGCTTCACTCAATTCATGCGGTACATTTCTCAAGCTTTTGAATTTTCCAATTTGTTTCAAGTGAATTCAAATTATTTTTTTCGCTCACACCAATGGCGTGATTTGTGATGGATCTGTTTTAACGATGAGTTTTAATTTTCCGTTGTCAGCTAGAGTCTTTTATCGTCCACGGGCTTTGTTCAGTAGGTCAAAATTTCCAGAAAGAAAATGTTGGAAATAAAAACATTCTTACCGTGTTTTCTTTAACAGTAACTTCCCCACATACTAAATTATCCTTTGAGCTGTTTCGTAAATCGCGATATATCAATTCTTGTAAAAGATATTTTAAATAGATTCGGAACACAAATATACTATAAAACTTAATTTGAAATAAATTTGAATTTGGAATTCCTAGTAAAACGGCAGATATTTAAGATCAAAGTAGTCAGTTTGACTAAAGACCAATTTCATAATTATGTAAGGATCTAATATTCAGTACAATTTTTTGAATTAATGTTTTATGGAAGTTTTATACATACTAAAATTTCTTGAAACAATGATGACTCTCCTAAAATCTAACCAAAAGATCAAGTACAAAACATAATAGTTATTACCAAGAAAAATAGATTCTTATACAAACTTCCTTCCCCTATTCGGTATGAATTTTGAGAAATAGAAATTTTGATATAGCTTCCTAAGCAGATGACTAGGTAATGAAATATTATAATTTGACATTTGTAATTACATTGTTGATCTTTTGATTAGATACTTTAAATAAATATGCAGTTATAATGATTTAGCATAAAGTATACCTTGGAGAATATGGTTGTACCAACAGGCCTGTATTATCCCAACTTTCTGATAATTTTTTAGGTGCAAAATTTTCTAAAACTGAAAGTACATCTTGTAATTTTAGTCCAGCTCCTTCGGTGTTTGACATCTTTTGATTGGAAATAAATGAGTTCGATCTCTTAATTGCACCTGCCCTTAACAAATTTTGTCTGAAAGTGATGAACATTCGTAAACTAAAAAGAAAAAGAACCAAAAATTAAATTTCATCATTACTTTGAATAAATAATTGAAAACTATATACTTAATGAATAAGTCACATTGTAATTTCTATAAAGGTTATCAACACTGCTGCAAGCCCTAAGGTATTGTATACAAGATGATTTTATAGACAACGGACATATTAACAGAGCATATGCAGAATTTGATTGTGAGTGTGAACTCATTTTTTTTTTCAAACAAAAACTTTTAATATTTTCAAACATTATGGACACCCTATTCCTTACCCGTAACCGTCGTAATACAATAACTTATTCACGAGCACTAAAACTATTCGCTGAAGGCGAAAAAAATTACTAAAATGCTTATCAATAAGGTGACCACTCTTAACGGGATAAACAAACAATGATGGATATTTTTCTGGTTATTTCTTGTCAAAATAAAATATTAATATTTTTTTTGAATTATGGAATGCTCAATTAACATTATGTCAATGTGTGTACTTCGTCTAAAACATCGCTCCTTATATCCATGGTATTCATAAAACATCTTTATATGACTTTTTACATAAATAACGCAATAAAACATTAAATTATTTTAAATATTAGATAAACTTAATTGGAAATTTATATTGGAATAAAAGACTACTTAACTAAATATTTTTATTTTCATACAAGTAATTTTTGTTCAATATTAAAGCAGTACCCCAAAAAGTCACTTCAATAAGCAGTATAGGAACAATAATTTTACAATATACAGCGTGTCATTACCATCGCGACAATAAATGAACACACGTCTAACGCTACTTGCCAATAATCATAAAAAAATATTAACGTTAAACAAAATCCATAATTTAAAAAAAATATTTTTCAAACAAACTAATGAAGTAAAAAAGAAACAAAATTTGTATCCTCCTATAGAACTCGCGCCACAGCGTCGCATTACCAGCCTCTCCTTCTAACAGTATGTTTTGTCTATTTTAAATTCATTCAACCCATTCATATTACGTTACAGTTTTATACGTAAGGGGTGTTCTAAAATTGTTTGTTTTGGAAAATTTAATAACTCGGTAAATATTGATGTTTAAAGAATGTAAATGTTTAATACAACTTTAAAAAGTTATGTTCCATATGTGTGTTTATTTATTGTCGCGGTGGTAGCGACACGCTGTATATAACCATTTTTTTTACTTTTTTCAGTTTAGTCAGTGTGTTCTACTCAGAGAATTTCCATATTTTTATTTCTCCATCATCACTACATGAAAGCAATTCTTGATTCCCAGTTGGATTCCATGCTACACAATTTACATCTTGAGAGTGTGCATTTAGCTGGCTGCAAACCAGTTCAAATATTGGTGCATTTGAATCTGAATCATCTGCCTCTTTGAAAATTCTAATTATGTCGTCACCACAAGCTGTAGCTATAAGACCAGTATTATGACACCATGAAATATCATACACACATCTTGTATGGTATCCTGACAATGTGCAAACACATTTCCATACTGATTCTTTATCATTGACCACCACTCCTTCTTGGTTATCAGGTTTATATGCTTTCCAAATTTTAACTGTTCTGTCATCACTACAGGTTGCAAGTCTTTCACCTGTTTTGTCAAAAGCCAAGCTCCAAACAGTAGATTCATGAGACTGCAGAGTGGCTATGCAAGACCAATCATTGTCCAAAGAATCCTCTTTATACAACTTGATTGAATTGTCATAAGAAGCTGATGCCAGTATATCTAAGGAAGGATGCCAAGCAACCTATAAAAATAAATAATATTTTATCTTTGCCTTTATTGACAATCAATAAGTGCATAAAAAATATGATACAAACTTTTTTCACATCTTGATTATGAGCATTGAGAACAGCTTCACATTCATATTCATCTTCGCCAGCTACTTCCCAAATCCAGACTGATTTGTCACGGCCACAAGTAGCCAATAGATGTCCAGAAGGAGACCACGCCACACTTTTCACTTCATTCTCATGCCCTTCCAGTGTGGCATTGCATTCAAATTGACCTAGTAACATATAATGCTTTATTACAATCTGCTGAACCAGTAGGCTTTCTTTTATCATTATAATTTATACACACCACTTTTCTTATCCCAAATGGCGGTTGTAGCATCAAAACTTGCTGAAGCTAAAAAATTTCCACATGGTGACCATGCAACTTCTCTTATTGTACGCTGGTGTCCATCAACTAGAACCGTCTTAACAGTCCAATCTTGACCATCCTCACTCCATAACTTGATGATTTTATCTTCACCACATGATGCAAAGATCTTGCCTTGAGGATGCCAAGACACATTCCACACAATTCCCTTATGACCATTTATAGACTGTAATAGTTCAAGTCTAACCATATTTTCCTGTATTGAATATTATTTTTATATTAAAAATTGTGGAAAAAAGAATGAAGTTTTTCGAAAATCGTTTTTGTTTGTGGCAATCGAACCCACATATTCCAGATTCGCGCCCAGACACTTTAACCCCTATATCAATGTCTTTTATCTATATTGTTTCCACATTTTAATTAATGCTTGACATATCTATTGTTACATCCTTTACAGACACTATTATTGATATTACCAAAAAAAAATCACGCAGACTGGGCGCGGATCCGGAAAACATGGGTTCAATTCCCGGAGTGCCAAATTATTTTCCAGTTTTCTACAAATTTTAAAATTTCATTTTAAGTGCACAGATTAGTACTATGAAATTTCAATTATTTTTATGCCATTTTTAGCACAACAAAAATGTTAAAAAAGACATTATGTTGCTGAATTGCATATAAGGGCATTTAATATATTTAATTCAGTATTTTAACTCTAAAACAATGTCCTTTAAAACAATAACACATCAATTATTGTTTGAACAGAAATTGTGTAAATAGATTTTTTTCCTACTCTTATTATTTCTTGTTGGTTTCATACTCCGTGTATATAAAATTGAGTATAATATTAACATTTCAGAAATCACGATTTTCCAGAATTTTCAGGTATTTCAAGTTGAATAATATCTTTTAATTAATGCAATGATGAACCATGCACCTATCACCACTAATTTATAGCATAATCTAAATTATGAAACTATATATCATATCCTAAAAAAAACCATACAGTATTTAACTTTTTTCAACAATAAAAATTAACTGTAAGCTTTACTTAATTTGTGCCTCATTTTGAATAGCAAGCAACAATAAAATATAATTAAATTAAAAGGAAAAAAGATTAAGATCAGTTTAAGGAAACAATTCAAGATTTTAACTGTGGTAGCAACCTCAGCTGTTGCACGAATGGGCAGGCTTGTCCGGGTAAGTACCACCACCTCACAGAAGACCGACGTAAAGTGGAAGTATAATAAATACTTTCGCGTTTCGTCTGGTGAGTGAGGTAGCCGGAGCCCATCTTCAAAAGGTTGTCAACGCATCTGTAACCCTCGGGTGTAGCAGATGTCCATGGGCGGCGGTATTCACTTAACATCGTTTTCTATTCACTGATATGATTATAGTATTGAATTTTAAAACTGTGCCATAGGTATTAGGGCACCATCTCCAAATTTCTTAAATATTATAATAAGCAAAGCGTTCTGTGTCTTTCTGTTCTGTAGTCTTGTTTTATTTTAGCGTTTATACGCTAAAATAAAACAAGACTGCAGGAAATATTTAGAGCCATGTCGTTGAAATTTACCCGTAGAATATTACTAAATTGTATTTTTCCAGCTGAAGACTTAGAAAAATGGTCTTCTTTAATGTTTTATTTCATGTACTCAAATAAATGTATACATACAGAATCTTGTAAATTGCAAAGCAAATTTTTAAAATTTCTAACCTCAAATGCAAAGATTGTGAAACTACAAGTTTTTCTTCGTGTTTTGCAGAAGATAGGCTTGAATGTTTCTTTAATATATTTTATTTTATGGAAGTCAATAATTATACACTGCTCTCCGTCCAATCGAGTACACAAACACATTAACTTAATCAGTTATCAGTCTTATATAAAACGTATGTTATAACATATTAGAGATGTGTAACTGTAAGTAATGCCGATGATATTACTCGTGTCTCGTGTAGCGATGGATGGGCGTTGAATCAGCGAAGTCAACGTAGTCAACGAAGTCAACTAGTTGAATCAACCGTTGATCTCTTGTTAACGAATTAACTTTAACTTAACCAGTATATATGTCAGTATATATGTCATTTCAGTATATATGTCTTATCTATGAACTTAACCTTAACTGTCATTGAAATCAACTAGTTGACTTCGTTAACGTCGTTTCGGAAATTTTGTCGTTGAAGCAACTCGCAACGCAGTCAACGAACATAAGCGTAACGAACTAATAAGTTGAAAACCTTACGTTGAAAATAACTTTCGTTCACAAAAACGTCACAGAGTTGAGTTGCAATGTTTGTTTAATTTTATGAAGGACATGTAAGGTTCGCTTTCTTTATTTTTGTTTGACAGTTTGTGAATAGTTGCGCGCAAGGTCAGAGAATATTTGCAGCTTTGCGTAAATATTATCAGAACTTTTAACTTCATGTTAAGTGTTTTTTTTGCGAATTTGTTAATTTTTAATTAAATATATTTGGAATTTAATTTTATGTTTTTAGTTTTGTTTATCAGAATTTTACTTTATGGTTAGTGTTTTTTTATTTTAATTTATGATTATTTTAGTGTACTGTAGGTACAAAATTCAAAATGTTTGGACGTATTAACAGTGAGTTATGGCTTAATACCTAAAAAACAATTCTAGCGGGAAAGCTATTTGTAATGTATGCAAGGAGAAAATATCGAACAAATTAACCACTTTAAATTTAAAAAGTACTTGGAAACATATTTAAATATTTTCTGTAATCCGCCTGTGTCGGAACCTAACTCACTCTGTTATGGAACAGCAGCACCTGGCATGGGCCTGGAACAAGCTAAAATATCATAGTCTTAGTTCAGTACCCAACCAGGAGATTTCGATGCGAGTGGGACCGCCAAGAAATCATTAGCGACCAGCGTATGATGGTTGATTTTGATAACAAAAAAAATTAGTTCAGAACAAAAGAAAAAAAATTAGTCCAGATTTGTTAGCTTTCATCCGTTTTCCTTAGTAGAAGGGCTATGCAATTTAACATACTTATGTGTAACGTTAACTAGTTGATCAACTAGTTGACGAACATGAATCTTTTTTTTTTTTGTTGACGTGGGGGAAATGCCTACGCATACCCGCCCTCGCGGGGGCAAGAGCGGGTTATGTCGGACTCGCACCGACTAAAACCCCCACGATGTTACACCTAGGCGCATATCGGCAGGGTCACGGGAACGCTTTCGCACACTTCCGCGACCCTGTCAGCGCTGGCCGCCTTAGCAGCCCCCTAACGGGGAGGAACTCCCCTCTCCTCCAGGTAAGGCACGCTGGAACATTCAGCGCGCCTTCCTACTCGGCCCCATTTTCACGGCCAACGAACTCCCCCGAGTTCGCAGACCGGGGCCATGGGGGCCAGAAGAGTCAGTGCTAAAAAGCAGCACGCCTCCCAGCCCCCAGCGGCGGACCTGGTCTGTGGCTCCGCCGCTCACCACTTTTCGGCCGCGGAGGATAGGGAGAACGGCGCACCGCAATACCGACACTCCTCTCCCCCCGCGGCCCCACCACCACTGCATCAGCGGTGCAGCCCCGCCCAGTCGCGGAGGATAGGGAGCACGGCCAACGCAATACCGACACTCCTCTTCCCCCGGGACTCCTTCTCGGTAGCAGAAGACAGAGTGGCTCCACCTCTACCACCCTCGACCTGTCCCCTGCACCCTCCAGCACGCATCCAGAGTGGGCTCAATGAGCTCACTCGGAGCGGCCCTCTCGGGCCGGCCTTACACCACAGGCCGGCCCAGTGTGGGTTCCTCTTAGCTTCGCCGTGGGGGACCAAGCCACGGCTACTAAGCTCCTCCGCCACGTCAAGGCGGGAACCCGGTCGGAGGGGTGACGAACATGAATCTGCGTTAACGTTAGGTAGACGAAAATTCCTTCAACGACCCATCGCTACTCATGACTCGAGTAATATAATATATAGCAATGTCATACTGCATTACTCATTACGCGAGTATGGCCAGATATATAATAGTATATAAAAGTACTCTTTGAGTACTCTTTAAGGTACATAAAAGTACTCTTTGAGTATGGCGAGCAATGGCGAGCATCACTATTTGTGATGCATTAATAAACTTCGCGTTTCGCGACAGCCGAATACGAAAAGGATGTCATGCGTGTACGAGCGAGATGATCGCGCGCTTCGGGCGGCATGATAACGGATTGTGCGCCTTCGCTCTAGGCGGATAATATTATAAATATAAATTACTTTCAATAAAATCGCGACCGTAATGAAATATAAATAATTTTTACGACGTTACGTACAAAATGTGTGCATTCCCTGCGCAAATACGAATGTCATGCTGCATCCTATTATATAACAAGCTAATATTGCATGCTATTAAGGTGTAATTTACTTTTTGACGATATTTTCAAATTTGTGTTCACATAGTTCAAGGTTAATTTCTTTATGTAAACTGACAATCATTGACGAATAGATTTTTATTGATATTAGCTTTTGCCTTCGCCTTTGTCCTTGTGTATTACTAATTAGGCTATTTTGAATATTACGTTTAACACGGAAAAACTATAAATTAAATATTTACATTTAGAATATTATATACAGTATAATAAACACTTAAATAAAATCACAATAAGCTTTAACCCTTAAGTACGTAATAGTAATGAAATTAAAATCATAATATGCTTTAGTCCAGTATATTACTGTAATGACATCGCAAGTCGCAACATCATCATCACAGTATAGACCTCCATAGACCTACTGGCCTACTGCGTAATAATTAATGCGTAATGCTTTGAGTGATATTACTTTTTTTATGTTAAGTGAATACCGCCGCCCATGGACATCTGCCACACCCGAGGCTTACAAATGTGTTGACAACCTTTTGAAAATTGGGCTCCGGCTACCTCACTTACCAGACGAAACGCGAAAGTATTTGTAATACTTTAATATTTGTTAACTTTACGCTGGTCTGTGAGGTCCCGGTCTTTACCCGGACGTGCCTGCCCATAAGTGCAACAGCCGATTCTGTTGCGTGGCCCTACCACTTATCGTAATATATTAAAACTTCGATGAGTGATGTGAAAAACATCACATTACTTTTTGAAGCAGTGTTTTGCGCATCTCTATAACATATCTTACATAACACCCTGAAAGCCATCAGGTACTATAGTACCAAGAAAATAAAATTATGTTAACTGCCACTAGGGAACCATGGTACCTACGCGACATAGTGTAATCAATAAAATCAAAACAATATTAAAAAAAATAATT